TAGGATCTCATTGAATGTCTGGTATCTTCATGATACAGAGTCTTGCTAGTCAAGAACATAAATTATAGTTTTTCAAGTCTTTTTCTACATCCTTCTGTAGAATTTAAATCTTCTCTTCCTATAGATTGTGCATTGTCTTTGTAAAATTTATTCCTAGGATTTTCTTTTTCTTTTCTTTTTTTTTTCCTACTTGCTTTGTAAATGCTGTTTTCCATTATGTCTTCTAAGATAATGATACTCCCCCCGCTTAAGATGCTGAAATAGCCCTAGGGGAGCAGTCTACCTCAAATAATCTTGAGAATTACTCATCTAGACTAGCAAGTAGTTCTCAACCTTGTTTCCCCTTGGCAACATAGTCTATGGTGATTTTGACAGACACCAATCAATCCTCAGGTGTTCCTTGTTTTCTTAGGGACTCCAGCAGAGTTGAGAGACTGGGTTCTTCAGCAGCTTATGGAAATATATGTGTACCAGGCACTGTCTTATGGGGCAGGGACACCATGGTGACCAAGATAGCTTGAATGTCTGCCCTCATGGAAGTTGCACACAATCCTAGTCAAATACAGCAAACTCAGCAGATTAATTGAATAATTACAAGGGTAGGAAGCTCTGCTAAAGGGCCATGAGAGTGGAACAGTGGTAATTCCTCAGGTGTTAACATCCATTAGCATCCACACCCAGGCTTCAGTTACCTCTAGAACCCCATTCACACATTAGGTCTCCAGTTATGAACCTCCTCTGAGCTTCAGACCTGCCATTTGCACTTCCCCATCAGGAGGTGGAGTCTAAGTCCCTTCGCTCTGTATCTGGACAGGATTATATCTCATCTGTAGTCAGTAAACTATAGGGGACGTTACTGTATATGACGTCCAAGGCCAGGCCACACAGGCAAATGCAGCTTTGCCTTGTTCTCTGGAACACTAACTCTGCCTCCGGCTACTATATAAACAGTCTGACAGCCCTGAGGCTGCCATGCTGTGAGGAAGCCTAAAGCAGCCCATGCAGAGACTACATGGACAGACCCTTAAGCAGTCTACTAAGAATAGGTCACTTGGATAAAGGAGCAGACACAAAGTTGTTTCTCTAAACTCAAAACTGAGGTCCCTGCACAGACAATCTCTTCAAGGGTGTAAAGGCTCCATGAAGAGGGAGAGGCCCAGCCAGGGGCTGAATGTGGTCCAGCTCTACATTAGAAACCCCCAAGTTAGAAGAGCCTAGCCAAACACTTTCTGAATTCCTGACCCACAGATTTATGAGAGATGATAAAATTATCACTGTTCTTTTAAGCCACTAAATTTGTAAGTGATTCATTTTGTAGCAATAGTAACCAGAATATGGGCCACATGGCTTTGTATATCTTTTCTAAGTAGAATCCTTCCTGCACCCCTTTTGCCTAGTTACCATCTACATATCCTTCAGATCTTTGCTGAAGCTACAAAGCTTTAGTATGCTCCATCCCTAAACCTTGAAACTTGGGTTCATAACGCCCTCATAACACCATGTACCTTTTTTAAAAAGTTTATTTATTTACTTAGAGAGAGAGAGCAGGGGTGGGGCAGAGAGAGGGAGAGAAAGAGAGAGAGAGAGAGAGAGAGAGAGAGAGAGAGAGAGAATCCCAAGCAGGCTCCACACTGCCACCTTGGAGCCCAATGAGAGGCTCGAACTCATGAACCACGAGATCATGACCTGAGCTGAAATCTAGAGTCGGATGCTTAAGTGACTAAACCACCACAGTGCCCCACCTTTCCTTCCTGTATTCATCACAGGTGCATTTAGAGATCTGTGACCAGGTCTATCTTTCAGACCAATCTTCAACTCCACAGGCCAGCAGTCAGTCTATGCTGTTACACAGAAGGCCAGGCATTGCAAACACAAATGTCCACAGGAACAAGAAAATCACATAAATGAGAGACATGGGCAGGGTGGGGACTGCAGTGAAATGAAAATAATGTGCCCATATATAGAGTGCCGTTGCCACTCCACAGGCTCTGTGCAGCCAAATCTGCTTCATTTTTAGAGATGATACCAAAAAAAAAAAAAAGGATACAAACCCAGATTATTATGTATGTGTTAGAATGATAGCAACTAATTAAAACTACAAACACAGAAGAAAGAAAAAGGAAGAAAAACAACAGCCTGAAGATTTAATACTCATTGGTTTTTGGGGGGGAGGGGGAGGTTGTTTTTGTTTCTCCATTGGGTCGCACAGAGCAAGCATGGGGCTAGAGACTGGTCAGACAATACACATGACCCGTTCAGGTTCGGTGGTCCCCAGCCATCTGACCACAGGACTGTTCTTAATACTTCTTGTTTTTTGAGAATGATTCTGAACTCACTTTGTGTAATCAAGGAATTGTATTTAACTGAGGCATAGGTTAGCTGTGGGGCTGGCTGAGTTCAGGAATGGGCCATTTAGATTTGTTTTCTCTCTTTGTACCTAGAGACTGTGAGTCAAATTCTCTTCTAAGGGCCTGCAGACTTCTTGACTCTTGCCAAATAATAAAATAACTATTTTTTTAAAGACAAAGTTGGAAATAAGAAATTGTGACCATTAAGTAAATTACACTAAATTCTGTGTGTTCATTCCTAGAAGATAAATTATATGTATTTATAATAAGGAATGGGATGGGGCGCCCGGGTGGCTCAGTCAGTTGAGCGTCTGACTTCGGCTCAGGTCATGATCTTGCGGTCCGTGGGTTCGAGCCCTGAATCAGGCTCTGTGCTGACAGCTCAGAGCCTGGAGCCTGTTTCAGATTCTGTGTCTCCCTCTCTCTCTGCCCCTCCCCAGCTTATGCTCTGTCTCTCTCTCAAAAATAAATAAAACGTGAAAAAACAAAAAAAAAAGAAAAAGGAAGGGGAACATGTAAATCTCGTGAAAACCCTGTGGGAAGTTGATTTTTATCTAAAAATTATACTTTGTGGTATTTATGTATCTACCAAAAAATAGAAAAAGAGAGGGTGCCTGGGTAGCTCAATTAGTTAAGCACCCAACTCTCGATTTTGGCTCAGGTTATGATCTCACAGTCATGGGACTGGGCTCCATATGCTCAGCATGGAGCCTGCTTGAGAGCACTCTCCCTCCCTAGTCCTCTCTCCCCTTCTCTCTCTAAAAAAAAAAAAGAAGAAAGAAAGAAAGAAAGAAAAGAAAAGAAAAGAAAAAGAGGTATCAAGCCATGAAAAAACAGAAAACTTGGCATATTACTAAGTAAAAGAAGCCAACCTGAAAAGGCTACAGACTGCATGATTCCAACTATGTGACCTTTCTGCAAAAGGCAAAACTATGGAGATAGTACAAAGATCAGTGATTGCTAGGGATTGAGAGGAGGAAAGGGGAGGCAGTACCCTAAGAACATGTGACTCCTGGGATGACACGTGATCAGTCACTAGCAGGAGGAGACAGTAGCCTAGACTGCTCAGAACAGCATACTTAGAATTTCACAACAAAAAGAGAGTCCTATCATTCTTAAAATGGGGAAGATGAGACAGGGTATCAAGCTCTCTACCAACTCACACATCCACTGGTTAAGATAGGAAATTGTTCCTATTTAACTAAGGGGGAAACAGGTCCAGGTGTATTATGGCCCAAGTTGTGGAATAAAATCCATAAAATCCAAAATGTGGATTAGGAAAAAAAAAAAAAAAGAGGGATCTCTCTCAATATATGGAAGGAGGGAAATAAATGAGACTGGAAGTCATCTGCCCATCACTTAGGTCCCCATGAGTGATAGAAAAATAAGTCAGAATATCCCCTTCTACCTCTACACTCTTGAAGAGATTGTCTGTGCAGGGACCTCAGTTTTGAGTTTAGAGAAACACCTTTGTGTCTGCTCCTTTATCCAAGTGACCTATTCTTAGTAGACTGCTTAAGGGTTAGAGAAAACAATTCTCTAACAATTCTCCTTTAGCAGAGGACTGGACAAGATCTGAATGTTGCTTACCACTGTTTTGGACCAGCACTAACTGGACAGTGAAAGTCTTTTGACTGTTTTTGGTGTCCTGAGATTCAATCTCATTGCATTTTACAAGAAGCAGAGTAAGGACTGGTCCACAGAAAGGAGTCCTCTGTGGCAGGGGCAAGGTCCCAAAGCCATGTTTGGAGAGGCCCCTTCAGCCAGTTAATCTCATTATCATGAATTTATGCAAACTAAACTATATTGCCTTGGCTAGAAGGATTGCGCAATAGTTAGATTGAAAGATACTGAGAAAGGCAGAGAGAGAACATAAACTATTTTTACAATAGTGGGGAAACAGTCCCAGAGTGAGCAGGAGAAGAGAGGCCTGGGCATCTGCAGTTCTTTCCCTATTTCCTGGCCCTCTCACAATGAGTGCATTATTCTCTGCTGAGTGTGATTGTAGAGATCCAAAATCTCCCACCATTAACTCTTACCCCCAACCCCCGTATAAGCGTGATGAGGAAAGCCACTTAGTTTATCCAGAGGTGGGTGAAAGAAATAGCAATCTGGGATTTAACTTCAAAACTCACTGTATTTATTATGTGCTTCACCCTCACTAGAACGTAAGCTCCATGAGGGTAGGGATTTTTGTCTGTCCACCTCTATATTCTCAACTCTTGGCGCAGTACCTTGCACAGCAGCAGGCGTTTAATAAACATTTACGGAAGGAGAAGCTAAGGAGAGGAGAGAAACAAGGAAACGAGGCTGGCGAAAAAAGACGCAGAGGAAAACGGGAAGAACGGAGGGGGGCGGAGTTAAGTAGGACGGCCCAGCCTCGCTGCGGGTCCAGCAAGCGCTCTCAACTCCCAGAACTACAACTCCCAGCAGCTCCCGGGGCGCCGGGGCCGGCCGCCGCGACGCAGGCCAGACCAGGGCCCAGCCCGCCAGGCTCCCGAAGTGCCTTGCGCTGGCAGGCCCCGGCGCAGCGCCCGCCGGGACTTGTGGTTCGAACTTCAGGTGGGAGGGGGTGGGGCCGGGCATGGAGGCGGGCGGGGGCCGGGGGCGGGCGCAGGCCCCTCCCCCGTCACTTCCTGCCGGGCTGCGGGCGCCGGAGCGGCTCTTCAGCGTTTGCGCCGGCGGCCGCCGCGTCTGGCTCGGCTCCCCCTTTCCTCTGACCCCCGGCCCAGCGGCGCCCGCCTCCTCCGCGGCCACTCCGCCTCTCCCCACCCGCCGTTCCCTTCCTCCTCTCCCTTCTTCCTTCCTCCTTCCCCTCCACACCGGCCCCGTCGCCGCCGCCGCCCAGGACCGCCGGCCGGGGGACGAGCTCCGGGCAGTAGCCAGGTGAGGCGGCCGGGCCTGGCGGGGCCCGCGCGGGCGCCGCGGCCACGCGGAGGGGGGCGGCGGGTGGGGCGTAGGCCTCGGCGGGCCCGCGCGCCTGGCCTTCTTCCCCGGGCCTCTGTCCCGCCCGCGGGGCCTTCCTGGAGGAGGCGGGTCCTCCCGCGCCCCCCGTCTCGGGGCGCCCCGCGGCCTGGACCCCAGGCGCCCCAGCTCCTCCACCCCTTGCTGGGGCCAGAAACAGGTGCCACGCCGCCTTTCCTCATTCTTCCTCTCGCGCTGGGCTGCCGAAGTTATTCCTGGGGCGGGGGGTGGGGGTGGGAGTGCTCCCCGCTTCAAGTCCCAGAGCGCCTAAATCTCCCCAGCTGGATCTGGAGCTTAGTGGTTACGAGCACAGCCCAGGTGTCCCGACACGGGTACAAATCCCAGCGCTACTCCCTTCAGCAAGTCGCTTCAACTCTTTGTGTCTTGGTTGGAAAAAGGGGCGAATGCGGTTCCTGCCTCGTAACGCTGTTAAGGTTCCGTGAAATGGGGTGTGTGAAGCGCTTATCAGAGTGCCAGACCCACAGCGTGTCCCAATAAACCGTCTGCATAATTTACTAGCGTGATATTAAGGTATAACCTAATGGGTAAAGTGGAAAGAAGCTGACCTACCTACCCGTTTGGGTTTTCCTTGAGGCAGAGAGGGTTTAGCGTGCCCACCGCCCGCGCCGGGGCTTTGTTTTGGGTTCTTAACCTCTGAAAGAGACGTACGTTGAACTGGGACACCCTGTGAGAGGGCAGTCTGTAAAAGATGCTATTATTTCCATCTCCGCCGCCGAGCCAACTACGGGATTTCATCAGTTCCCTCGCTGTGAGCAACCTGTCTATTTTTCCTGCCGTCCTCCGGCTTCTTGTTGTCATTTCATGTCTGGGAAAGTTGCTGGCCGAAGCTTTCCTGGAGTTCAGCAGCCCTTTCCGGAGCCTTCGCTCAGTGCCGGGCTCTGGAGGCGGCGGTGGATGAAGCTGGAAAAAAGATGTCTGTCCTTTCTTGCACTACATCTCTAACTTCTAACTTTTTTTTTTTTTTCACTGCAGCTTTGCTTGTATTCCCTCCTTCCCTGTTGGCCAACTTTCCTTTTAAGCCCTTGCCCCACCTCCGTGTTGCAGTATTGCTTATGTGGAAGTTTTCTTCTTTTCCTGCGAAGATGTGTGCTTCGGTCTGTTCTGCCTCTGTTCTCTGGCTGTGGGGACGTTTCTAAGGTCACTCTTCCCTTCTGCTTGTAGCTTTAATTGTTTAGAGGGTGGAAATTGTTTAGGTGGTGGAAAGAGAGCTAATCGGGGGTTTTGATTGATTTTGGCCTTTCAGGAATCTGTGTGTGCCTACCAAGTATAAATTACATTGCTGCATGTTGAAGTAAAAACTAAAAATACAGTTGGATTGTAGAGGGAGCGGTTTACGTCCTTCTGGTGACAGGTGGGATTTTTATCCCAGCAACTTTAAAGATACGGAGTTCGTTTTAATTCTTTATGTAGTTGTAATGTGTACTTTTCACTAAAGGAAATGTGACTCATAGTGGTTCAAATTTACAAAAAAGTAGAGTGTATTTGCTCTACTGAATGATCCTTCTGTATCATAGGATTATTTTAGGTGGTAAATTTTTCCTTACTGAATTCAAGACTGTTTTGATTTACACCTGTCTCTCAATAACATGTAATGCAAAGTGGCCTCTCTGTCGTTGACATTTTCCTATAATTTTCCGACAGAGTCATTTCTGGTTTAAAATATTTGCTTGGATGACTCTTTAAAAATGCCTAAGAAACAGCTGTACAGGGGCATCTGGGTGGCTCAGTTGGTTAAGCATTGGACTCTCGATTCCAGCTCAGGTCTTCATCTCAGGGTTGTGATTCCGAGCCCCATGACGGGCTCTGTGCTGGGTGTGAAGCGTACTTAAAAAAAAAAAAGAAGAAGAAAGAGAAATATCTGTACAAGTATGTCTTCGGCCAAATCTGAAGTTGTTGTGGTTGATAAGTTTTTTCAATGTTTATTTTTGAGAGAGAGGGAGAGAGTGCGAACTGGGGGTAGCGGGGCAGAGAGAGAGGGAGACACAGAATCTGAAGCAGGCTCCAGGCTCTGAGCTGTCAGCACAGAGCCTGACGCGGGGCTCGAACTCGTGAACTGTGAGATCATGACCTGAGCCAAAGTCAGTTAACTGACTGAGCCACCCAGGGACCCTGATAACCTTGTTTAAACAACTTTTTATTGTGGAAAACATGCAAAAGTTGGATAACTATAGAGAATCCATGTACTGGTCCCTTAGCTTTGACAATAATTAACTTGTAGCCAAGGTCATATTGTTTCATGTAGTACCTACTCCCCCAAACTAGGTTATTTTGAAACAAATCCTAAATATCATATAATTTCACCAGATTGCCCCAGACTGTTAAAATTTCCTTTTAGTGAAATCATAGTTCTCATTTTGTTTATTGGACTTCTCATCTTTGTTTACACATGATTATCATACAGCAGAACCAGATTAGTTCTTGGTTCAGTGCTTATCCCACTCATCATGTCCAAAATATTGCCTTGCTTCTTTGTGTACAAAAGCAACAGTTCTTGAGCTATAATGGCTGTCATTGAAAAGGAGTCAGAAATACAGATATCCTAAACCTGTTTTCGTGGAGACCTGTTAAACCACTTTTAATGGAGAATAACTTTATGTCATAAACTACAGTTAATAATTCATAATGAAACTTTCAAAGTTTCTTTACCATTGCATAAATATGCTGCTATCACCTCAGGTTAAGAATTAAGCAAAGCATATTTGATTTCCAGATTCTCTTGTAGAATTAGTTTTAGTAAGTATGAATGAATTTCACAGCATAGATGGTCATAGTTTTTCTTTCTTGTCTGAAAAGAGATTTTTTTCCTAGATTGGAAGTTGACAGGAATATTGTGTTTGTAGTCGTTTCTTAATTTTCAAATTTCTGGTCATGGACCTGTCACAGTTTTTAGACCTGTAAAGTTGTAATTTCAATTGTGTATACTTAACTTTTGAGTGTGATCAGATGTAATGAAAATGGATGTTAGGTTTTACTTATTACAGTCTGGGAGATGGAGAGGGATGTAAAGAGCTCTTAAAATTAACTTAGGAAAAAATAATTTGGTAAGGAAAACATACTTTATTTTTAAAAAAATACTTAGTGCTTCCCAGGAGGCTAAAGTAAAACTTTTAAGTATTTGGAATTGTTACCATAAATACGGTTTCTTCAGACTTAAATTGCTCTCTTTTAAGATTTAGCCAGAAAACCCATTTATATACAGATTATTTTAAGTTGAGAAATGAGCATGACTCATAGAACTTTCTCCCCTCATTTTGGAAGGCAACCCATTAACATTATTCTGAGTGTAATCTTCAAACGGTGGCCTATACCGTGCTGCTTGGTCCAGTCCACCCTCAGTAAGACGATGAAGATACTTAATGTAGGAGTCTCAGAGTGGGTCTCTCCTGACTGGGCAACTTTCTCTCTCGCTCTTACTGGATGGAGTGAAAGTGAAATTCACCAGCATAAAAATGAAACTTTCATGAAAAAGACATCTTTCTGTTGGATGTCTTAAGTCATTTCGAGGGACCTTGTTTTTATGAGCCTTCAAACTGGATCATCTTATTTGCTGTCATACTTAGTGACACAGACTTGCTCAATTTGTGGAAATGTGCATTCTTCCCTCTCAAACGAGAGCTTTTGGCGTTGCTTTCTTTCTCTCAGAGTGGGACTCTGGAGGCTTCAGAAATGTTTAGAAAAGTTTATGACAGATTTGATTTCACACTAGACCTTTTGCTTCACACTAAACCTATAAAAGCTCATTTAAAATTTTAAGCTTTTGGTGACAGAGACATTTGTGGCTAAAATGCTTCTGGTGTAATTTTCTACATGAGCTTTTCCTTAAATAAAACCTCATTAAAATCAAGGTTTAGCATTTATGCTGTTCCAAGTTCTCTACGAATTAGAGATTGAACTAGAAGAAATGTTATTCACTATCCTTATTTCCCCCCAACATTTTATTATGAACATTTTCAAACATATAACAGCATTTAAAGAATTTTAGTGTACACCTCTGTATATACCACCTGTTTTCTGCCATTGACGTTTTACTAGTTTTATAATATCTTTCTCTTTGAAGTCATTAATCCATTTTATTTTTCTTTTTTTTAGAAGTTTTTGTTTTTTAATTTTGTAAAGTTTTATTTGTTTGAGTAATCTCTGCACCCAGTGTGGGACTTGAACTCGTGACCCCAAGAACAAGAGTTGCATGCTCTTCTGACTCAGCCAGCCAGGCACCCCTCCATTTTGTTTTTTCAGTACATTTCTTTCTTTCTTTTTTTTTTTTTAATGTTTTTTATTTTTATTTTTATTTATTTTTTAAATGTTTTTATTTATTTCTAGGAGAGAGAGAGAGACAGCGTGAGCAGGGGAGGGTCAGAGAGAGAGGGAATCACAGACTCTGAAACAGGCTCCAGGCTCTGAGCTGGCAGTCAGCACAGAGCCTGACGCGGGGCTCGAACCCACAAACCACGAGATCATGACCTAAGCGAAAGTCGGACGCTTAACCGACTAAGCCACCCAGGCGCCCCACAGTTAATTTTAAATCGAGACAATTCTAGACCTTTTAAAAGCCAAGAAGTTTGTTGATATTTTTTTCCAATTTTGTTCTGACTCCAGAATTTTTTGCTTTTTTTAAAGAAATGTTTAATGAGGGGCGCCTGGGTGGCTTAGTCGGTTAAGCGTCCGACTTTGACTTAGGTCATGATCTCGCGGTTCATGGGTTTGAGCCCTGCGTTGGGCTCTGTGCTGACTGCCAGCTCAGAGCCTGGAGCCTGTTTCCGAGTCTGTGTCTCCCTCTCTCTCTGACCCTCCCCTGCTCACGCTGTCTCTCTCTCTCCTAGAAATAAATAAAAAAATATTAAAAAAATGTTTAATGAATTTTTGCACCAGTGGGTGCTTATCTATGAATCAATTATTACTAA